ATTTTCTTCTTTTGAATGTAAGCTTTCAAAAAATATCTACTCAAACAACTATGATTTAATCATATTGCAAATACATTTTAGAATCAAAACTCTCATTAAATATTCTGTTCTATATTTGGATTTTGTAATACTATTCAATCTATTTAATAATTACATTTTAAAATAACTTCAGAAGCATACAAATAACACATCTACTTATTAATTCCTCTCTCATCTGGAATAAGAGAAAAAGTATACAAGAATAATGTAAATTAAATGTAATCGTGACTAATTTGGGGGCTACAAATTTGTGTGATTATCTTGCATTTTTCCATCTTTTTTCAGTTTGGCAATATCATTTAATGCAAATTTTAGTTACTCTTCCTTATCTCTATTTTAATATATTGAATTTTCTTGACAAGTCACTGTTAAAATGTATCTTAGTGATTGAGAAAGTATCTTGAACACCTATTTGAAAAAGTTTAGGCCAATGCCAAATTAAACATATTAATTATAATTTTAATACTTTGACAATATATTTGTTTGCTTCTAGTAAAACTTTTGAAGTGAAAGCTTTTTATTTAAATGGGAAATTTTTATTTCAACAAAAATACATATTTCATGATCTTAATTGTTCTCTCAAGATAGAAGATATTATTATATATGTATATTTTAAAAGCTATTAAAATTGAGTTTATCAAAGGAAGATATACTTTAGGGACATTTAATATAAAATGCAATACTTACCGTACATTTGACTGGATCCCTTAGGACATTAATAAAAATCAGGTTTACTTTTAATTTTTCTCTAGCCTTATTAGAGGCGGTTCACATCAAGGGACCCTCAGCAGGTAACAGTGAAAGGAAAATTATACCAAAGCTGAAGTAATTGCACACTATAGTCAGAGGCCAGTAGGGGGAAAAATTTGGTAAGGATCTTTTCAGACATACCCTATACACTTTTATTTTTTTAACGTTTTGAAGGGCCAGTGTTAAGTGCATAGTGAAAACGTCCCAAGTACTCCAGCATTGTGCTTGCCCTTCCTATTAGAGACAGGGAACAGGAAGACAGCAGGGTGGGGCAGGTGGAGGGAGGCAAGGAGAAAGAGAAAATGTGAACATTTACATTTTTCTGGGAAAGCAGAGACAAGGATTAAAGGTAGATGCTCTGTTCTAGAGTCAAATGTTATTTTCACACAAATTTGCCCTCCTATTGTTTAGCATGGTGGAAAGTAAGAAACATAAGTTGAATATTTTCTGTAAACTGTTTCACCAGGGCTGCTATTAATGTGGGTCGATGATTTTTCTCTTTGATCTCTACACAATTTTAGATGCCATTCAGAAAACTTCCAAATGGACTCTAGAATCCCAGGGCCTTTTCGCATCATTATTAACAAAGCAGGGACCCCCAACATTCCAGTTTGAACAGGCATCCGTGGATTAACAGAGTCTTGAAATTTAATAATGCTTGTAATTTATTTTACGTAAAAGTAAAGCATATTTTTGCTATGTTGAAAAGTTCAGATTTCAGGAGTAGTTTAGAAAATGAGAAAAAAATAATAGTCTTAGAATGAGAGCAAAAAGGAAAGAGAGGTTATTGAAATAGAAGCGAAGCATTCTTTGAAGAAAGGATCATTATAGTTCTTATTATTAAAAATAATTCTTCACGTAGTCATCTGTATGCCAAAAACTTTAGAAAAATAAACTTCCGTAAGTCTTGAGATAGTACATGTATGTTTATTTACTGTGTGACATCACTTTCAAAATCAGAAGTGTAAGGTATGTATTTGAGATTCCTAAAATAAATTACATGATAAATGTTAAAGAACAAATGAAAAAGCAGAACTGTTTGAGAAGTTCATTTTAAATTAGGGTAAATATATTTGAAGGATGGCTATGGAAGCAAAAAATGAATATAACATTTAGTAAAAACTATCAAAGGGTTCAAAAAGCACAATTCAGAAGGAAATCATAATTGAAAAAAACAAGAATTCTGGGTAGGTGTCAAAATCTGAATCTCTTCGTGTATCTTCAAGATAACTATACAGACAAAAAAAAATTAACATTCGGCAAAACCTACATCTTCATCATGACAAAAAGACATTTCACAAAAATTTCCCATTAACTTATGGAACAAGTAAGTAACTATATTTAAGATAATGAAAGTCATGTTTCTTGTTATTTAAAAAAGTAATTTCAGATAAAGAAATAGACCGGATGAAAATGAACCCTGTTGTGTTAAATTATGATTGGAGTGTTTGGTATGAGCTCATGCATTCCTATGTATGTGTTTAAAACACACACAAACACAAACATGCACAAAGATACAGAAATAGACTATGTATGTATACACAAACACAGTTATATACATACAACTATATGTGTACATACATATGCCAATGTATCCATACATGTAGCTATATTTATACATATAGTGATGGACGTATCAATCATTTAATTTCTAAGTAATATCCTTCACTTAAAGAAACCAGGGCTCCTGAAAAAAATGGCTGACGCCAAATCTAGGACAGAGAATGCATTAAGATAAACCTGGAACATCTTGTGCTAGAAAGTGGGAATGATCAAAGAATGAGGATATGTCAAAAGAAAAGAGAAGCCAGCTTGAAGAGCTTCCCTTAGCTAAATCTCTGACAAATTAAACATTAAAATAAATAGTAATTATTATATATTTTATCCATTGAGAAAATAAAAATCCATGAGTCCATATTGATACAAAATCATTGAAAAAATGAATGTATAAATGAAGATACTCTTTCTAAAAGTAGAATGTCAACTAGTAAATGAAGAACAAAGGTGTTAGAAAAGCATCATTTGGCAAAAAGCATGGAGAAAATTGACTCAGACAAGAATCATTAATGAAGAGCATCTCTGGTTTTTTAGTGGTCCAGATTTCCATATTTTAGGGTACTTGGGTACTGATTGATCATGATACCACTAAAGAATCATTTGTATTAATAGAAAACAAAATTTGGGAGACAAAAGACAAGATATGTTATAATTTTCTGATTTTCAAAATGAGAGAGAGAGAAAATTCTATAAAGTAAATGAGTAAACTACTATTTAGAAAAAAATGAGACAATCGGTGATGGTTATCATAAAACACTGAAAAAGCAAGATATCTCAAAATAATTCTCTAGTATTCAATATTTCAAAATATAAATTAGATTTTGAAACTTCTACAAATATAATAGAACTGTTAGAAATACATGAAATAAATACATAAATAGAAATGGAAGTCATTATTTGTTTTTATAGCAATATAACATTTTTAAATTTGCCAATATGAAAAAAATCATTTCTTGAGATACTTTTCACTACTATTTTTGGGAATTCTGTGTCCAATTCCTATCTATTCTGTGATTCCTTGGAATCATCATTAATTCAGTGAGAACACAAAGTAGCAGTCAAAGACAGTATTATTAACAAACCTATTGATTTTAGTAAGGCATTTGGTAGATTCATTACATTACCTCTCACTAGATGGGGAGATATTTGCAAAATGAATAAGATGGAGAAAAGCAGTTTGACTATTTGAACAAAAATTCAAGAAGTTAGTAATTGGATTTGTGTTACTCTAAAAAGGTGATTATAGTAATTTCCGTAGTCACATGAAGAGCTCTTGGGAAATACTCTATTCTTTCACCCAGTATCCCATTGCACATGACATTTTAATGCCTTCTGTCCAACTGGTACAAAGATTCCTTACTCTTTCTTTTTCTATTGATTTTATTTTTAATTTACACATAATTATAACATTTATGTGTTGTGCTATTTTGATACATTTATACATTGTATCATTATACTATATAATATATTGTATTACAGCACGTTTGTTCATTTGTTTGTCATGAACAAATCAAGATAATTAGCATAGAGATCACCTCAAACATTCATCATTTCTTTGTGGTGCAAACATTCAAAACTTTCTCCTCTAGCTATTTTGAATATACAATACCTTACTGTTTACTACAGTCACCGTATTATGCGATAGGACACCAAATTTATTCTTCTTTTCTAACTGTAACTTTGCACCCATCAATCAACTTTTCCTATCCCCTCTTCCCTACTGTCTGGCTTATTTTACTTAAGAGATGAATGAATAAAAAATATGTAGTATACATAAACAATGAACTACTCTTCAGCCATAAAAAAGAATGAATTCCTGTTATTTGTAACAACATACACGAACCTGGAGGACATTATTGTAAATGAAATATATCTGGCACAGAAAGACAAATACTGCATGTTTTCACTCATATGCAGAATTTTAAAACACTGATCCCACTCCTTCTTTATTAATACTGAGTAAGACCTTTTCTGTCACCTCTTCTCTAGCAGTTAGCCATGCTTTCATGGGACCTGTCTCAATTGATATGTATCTACTGTAATGTTTTCACGTCTGTATTCCTGTCCTGTTCCTGAGACTTTCAAAAGCAGGCTCAAGTTTAATTTACACTTGAATATGGGTACATGACTAATGCCTGGTGCTCAATTAATTAATGTCGGTTGAAGAATTAAAAGAAGGAGCATGGGGGATGTTAGACTTCTATGGGTATAAAATGATGAATGAAGTTAATTAGGAAGAGTTTCCTCAAAAAATCTAAATAAAAATCTAGCTCAAAAACATTTTAAGGAAAGTTTCTAGAGCTTCTTTATCTAGACTTCTAAAAAGAAAAAGTATGAAGAGATATTTCTGCTAAGTATACAGTTTTGATCAGTTTAATATCTCCTTTGGAAATTATTTCTATATTTTGATACTAGTATTCATCAGGTTACAGTAATTATTTACCCAACACATTGTTTTTCAAAATTTCACACATCAAGGACATTTGAGCAGAACAAAATTTTTCAAGGGGAATTGCTATATTTTTTCAAAGAAAACATGAAATATATATATTATTTATTTCAATTAAGTCAAATGTCTTACATTTAAAATACAAATATGAAGCATATATAATAAATGATTATCATTGTTACATGGATATTTCTAATTTTTCCAGATTTTTTTGTAATTGTGAACCTGGATACCATGGGCCCTTCTGTGAACTTGAAGTAAATAAATGTAAAATCTCACCTTGTCTAGATGAAGAAAATTGTGTCTACAGGACTGATCGATACAACTGCCTCTGTGCCCCTGGTTATACAGGTAAATCCATATCTGCCCCTGTGTAACAACATATTGCTGTCTGCAAGCAAAAGGAAACCTCATATTTATACTCCAAAACCTGAAATAACCTGCCAGATGCAAAAAGGGTAAAAATGTCAAGAGATACTTTGTCTCTTATAAAAGAAATTAATAAGAAGTAAAATTATGTGTTTTATCTTCAATTTATTAAATCCTGATTAGATTTTAAGTTATCTTACATTTTTATCTTTTACAGTAAATTTAATTTAGTATGTTTGTGTGGCTATAATATAGGAAAAAGTCTTTCTGTATGGATAATCTAAGAGAAATAACATTATTATATCTGTTACACAACTGTCATTTCTAAAATACATTTAGTATTACAAACATTTACATAAAAAAGACAGCCATTGTAAATTCAAAGGTAAAGCGAAAGAAGATTGGAATTAGCCGTCAACATCAATTATTTCACGATATAAATTTTATCCAGACATAAAGGCAAAAGTCATCAAGGAGCTCATAGAAGGTAGAGGCATTAGCCCTCTAAATTTCTGGTGAGAAATTGCATTTACAAAATACAAAAAGCTATATTGTTTTAGTTTTGGCATACTAGTATTAATGATGTGGGACTAACAATAATATAGTTTTTGTGTTATTTTGTTTCATATTTATTTTTTTCACACGATTCCCACAGATACTATGATAATGTATTTAAATCTCAAATCTCAGTTTATTAACATCTGATTTGTGCAGCATTAAAATCATATAGATTTCTATCCTGAGGGATGAGTAGTTAAATACATCTAATATTAGGTTCTCTGCCAGCGGAAATAAAATAATACTAGACAAATGGAAATTATACTGGCAAGCAAAAATGGTAAGGAACTAGAAGTATTTCCAGAGAATAAGTAATCAAAAGGTGAGAGAAAGTTACATGACCTTAAAAAGAAATATGCAGGTGTCTTTTCTGAGAAATCTGGATGGCTTCAGAGGTTATCTTGGTTATAAATCTTATATACACAAAAGCTATCAGATTAAGTTAATACTTCCTAAAAAATATCATTTTCTGCAAAGTTCATTACATATAATAAATAAGATACATTAAATTTCAGCTATAAAACAATGTACTTTCACATTGCCCATTATCTCCAAAATTATTGAGCTATCACCATAGAACCATATATATCCACTTAGCAGTACCATTCACCTTGCTGTTGTTACTGCTGCTAGAAGTGCTAAAATAAAAAATAACACACTGAGCTCAACATGACTAAGAAACACATTTTGTAAAATTATTTGTTATAACACCTTGCTCTGGTATTTTAAATGTATCTTAACATTTGAAAGATTAACATGTTCTTTATTTTTCTTTTAATAACCTCTCTAATTTCATTTCAAAATATGGTACTTAGCATTGTTTTAAAATGATATTATCTAAGATGTTACCAGTGGCACATGATTTAAGATGTTTTAATATATGTTTGCATATTGGTACAGCTACAAGTAAAAGAAAACTCAATTAATTATTGTCCTTAATAGATAGGGTTCATTTTTTCTTACATAATAAGAATTCTGTAGGTAGACAGTTACTGGTTGTTGGTCCAGTGACTTGAGAGTACCAGAATGGGGTAATGGTTTTCTTAGTTTACAATTCATGATTATAGGCTCGCATATTCAGAATTGCTGCTGTAATAACTTAAGTCATTATTTCTACACTTGAGTCAAGGGAAAAGAGTTGTGCTAACTGCATTGAGTCTTTATGTAAGGAGAACCTTTTTTGAATAACAATCAAAACTTGCTAATATGTCATTGAGCAAAACTGGCTCACATGTTCATTTTTAGGTTCAGTGGAAGGTAAGAAATTAAAAGTGTACCACTTTCAGAATTTACAGTTGAATATAGAAAAAATATTATGAAATATGTGTTACAGTTTAGTTTCAAACCAAGAAAGATATATGACTGGATGTTCAAAAATAAGTTTTCCCCCTCAAGAAAGTTACATGTATTTGTTTTTCTGTACATGCTCTTTTGACATTCAAATTGACCTTTTCTGTCATGCATGGACAGATAAAGCTTTTCCTTATTCTCAGACACTTAATAGCATTTATTTTTCTTAGCCTTCTCTGGAAATCTTTTTTTTTTTTTTTTAAAAATTTTTTAAGGCTCCTAAAGCATTACTGTTTTGTGAGATGTTTAAATCTATTCATTGTTAGGTTGTTCTATTTCAAGAGAGTCATGACACTGCAAGGTTTCACTTGAAGAATCTCAAACTTTGAAACACAAGGATGTTACACTTTTGTATATTTTTCAAGATCATACATCCGGTAGTGACAGAGCCAGAACCAAAATATACATCCCTCTCTATTCCAGTTTTATTTCTACTCTAGCTTTGTTCCATCAGAAAAAGACAAAATTTGAATGAAATGGTACTAGTGATATAGAAGAAAGATAAAATAATGTTAAATACAATATTAAATAGGTTAAAATTTGGTAACCAAATATATTATTCAGAAAAATTTAGCTTTGCCTACACCTATGAATATATTTAACCAAGTTATTAAGGATATAAATTTTTCAAGACTCTGACCAGGAAAGTTTATGATTCTTAATTATCTAAATCAGAGCATTCTTTGAAGAACACATTAAATGATATGTACACAAGCTATCAATGATTAACTCAATACTTCTTTATTTTATTCTTTGTATTCTATTAGCTGTTGAGATTTTGTGATGATCAAGGCTGACATGGTTCTTATTCTTATGGAGACTTGTGGTATCTAGAATTGGAAAAAGATAATAAACATTTACAAAGTTGACTATTTAAAGCCATTCTATAATTAATTTATCTAGCGTATTCTTAATTAAACACTATCACAAATATAGTCCAAATTTACACATGTAGTGAGTTGACTGAATTTAATGAACAGGATGTACACAAGTGATGGCATATAATCAAAGGCTTATGTTTTATCTTGCAAAATATATAAATCAGTTTATCAGTAGATTTGCAGTATTGTCTAACTGTCTTTCCTAAAGAATATTGGCTTATGAATTTGAGTTTTAATTATTAGTGATTTAAATTTAGGAAAGATGAATATAAACAATAAATTTACATTGCTTTCTAAAATAGTCATTCACTCATTTAGCAAGAAGTTGCCTCTTAACTAGACACAGTTATATATTATTAATCTGTAGATAAAAGTTTACGAACTTGTGCTTAAGGACTTTAAATATGATTACATGTAGTCATGTCTACATCTGTGTTTATATCTATAATAATATTTATATATCTGTGAGAAAAGTATAAATATTTTTAAAATGCCTAAGTCCTATCTTAGAAATAATAACTTTGATAATAATGTCATGTAGAAAACATATACAATTCAATAGTTCAGAATAATAAAATATAATTATGTTTGCTTCAAAGTGATGCATCTTTTTTCTTGGATATGTTTCATATACACATGCAAACATATGACTATATTCAGTTATAATATTTTCTGCTTGAGATAAATAAGCTTTTTTCTGAATATATTTTTTTGTCAAATGCCCAATCTACATAAGAAGTAAAGCAATCTGCTTTGAGTATATGGATAAAGAAGCATAGTTTGGTAAAATATGGACAATTGTACATTTTTGGTTGCTGTAAAGATATTATTATCATATTGTTTCTGCTGCCTAAAATATTTCATTTATCCTGTTGCAAGTACTGACCCTCATACCATAACTCAGATGCAACTTTCTATAGGAATCTTTTCTTAGACTCTTGGCTTCTGTTATTTTCTTCTATATCACCCATTTTATCCACTGAACTTATAGTTTTGTGAAATTCTGATTTAGTTATCAGTTCATCTGAGGAGACTCCCCAACTCTACTTGCTCACCATTTTATCTCTTCTCTCCATCAAAGTTTAGTCTACTCTGGTACAATTTGTCACCTGAGTTCCTAGTTTAACAAGATGTATTAAAATAGAATAAAAAGATAATTAATTGAATGGGAAATAAAAGATGTAAAAACAATTTCCAATTTCTAATTACATATTATGCATCTGTAATAATTTAAACACAAAGGGTTTAGTGTTTATTTTTTGATTGATAACTATAAGTCTATAGACATAAACATTTAGGAAAATATTTGGTATTTTATTATATTTAGCTTTAGATTAATAGTAATCACTTCTCTTTGTCAAGGACAGCAACATTATTAACATAGCATTTACCATTTCCTTTTTCTGTTAGTGTAAGCAGGAGCTACGTTAAACAGGCAATTGAATTGTGCTCAACCACTTTTCCCTTATGTGACAAGATTTAAAATTCACTTTCACAACTCAAATGTGCAAAAATATGTTATTTCTGTCATAATGAATTCCATATAATGTATGGGTCTAATTTCATCTAACAGAAGACAATGTCAATGTGCCAAGTCAACATGTGACTTTTTAAAGACAAAATTCAGTTATATCAGTTTTGAAGTTGAATATCTTTTTTATTCAGAGATCCGTCACTCTTTTGCTCTGTTTAATCTGGACGCAATGGAGAAAGACATTATCCCTGGTATTTGGGTACTGTGTACTGGTATAGACTCTTGACTTCCATGGTCTTTTCCGTGGGCTTTGCTCACTATGTCCAAGCTGTCTCATCCTCATTTCAAATCCAAAACCTCATTATAAAATTGCCTTTATCACTTAGAACTCTCAAATCCATTTCTCTTTTATCAAAAGCTGGATCTTACACATTGAAATTGCACTTTGAAAAATGATGTTAATTTCATTGAATTACAAACATTAATAGTACTTTTAATTAACTTATTTTATAGACTGTCTTTGGCTTTTCTTAAAACAATGTTTATTTAAGTAAGCCCTTATATCAGCTTAAATGCCAAGAGGAACAATTACAAAGAAGGAATAAAACTCACAGGGTTTACTATTGAAGATTTATATTCTAGATTTACTATCCAGATGCAAATGTTAATAGCCAGTATCTTACTTTATTGAGTTATAACCACTAATGAATGCAGAATACAATTGCATTTTCTATTTGCTAATGTCACAAATGTGCATGTGCCTCTTATGTC